AACTTTGTTATAGGTTAGTCAGTACTGAAGGGATCTTTGTTATATATTAGTCAGTACTGAAAGGAACTTTGTTATAGATTAGTCAGTGAAGGGAACTTTGTTATAGGTTAGTCAGTACTGAAAGGAACTTTGTTATAGGTTAGTCAGTACTGAAGGGATCTTTGTTATATATTAGTAAGTACTGAATGGAACTTTGTTATAGGTTAGTCAGTACTGAAAGGAACTTTGTTATAGATTAGTACGCACTGAAGGAAACTTTGTTATAGATTAGTATGTACTGAAGGGAACTTTGCTATATATTAGTAAGTACGGAAGGAAACTTTGTTATATATTAGTAAGTACGGAAGGGAACTTTGTTGTAGATTAGTAAGTACTGAAGGGAACCTTGTTATAGATTAGTAATTATATATATATAAGTACTGAAGGGAACCTTGTTATAGATTAGTAATTATATATATATAAGTACTGAAGGGAACCTTGTTATAGATTAGTCAGTACTGAAATGAACTTTGTTATATATTAGTAAGTACGGAAGGGAACTTTGTTATAGATTAGTAAGTACTACAGGGAACTTTATAATAGATCAGTAAGTACTGAAGGAAATTTTGTTATATATTAGTAAGTACTGAAGGAAATTTTGTTATATATTAGTCAGGACTGAAGGGAACTTTGTTGTAGATTAGTAAGTACCGAAGGAAACTTTGTTATAGATTAGTAAGTACTGAAGGGAACTTTGTCATTGAAGGTTTTTCCTATTTCCTAACTTTTATAATCAATTCAGAGTTTGATCAATGAAAAAGATGGCTGCCATAAATACAAAAATGATGTGTTCTTTTTTTGAAACATTACTATTCTTATCAATATGTCAAAAGACAACCTCATTTTGATTGTCCCATCACAAGGAACAAATTGTGTCTTGCAATAAACCCAAAAAAGTCAAAATGGTGGTGTTTTCCATTACATTTTCAAGTCTGTTTGTTTGATAAAATGTGTTAATGTAGATATTTGTTTTATTATTTTGATAAAAATAATCTCCAGCACGACCACCTTCCATTCAATATTTATGACACTCACTAAAGCTTGTTCAATGGAAATCTTACATGTAACGGAACTCTGTATACATTTATCATCCGTAACATTTACTTTCAGTTTTAACATACAGGTATTATGCTAAGTAACGTTCAGGGATACAAGGCTTGGTTTTGTATTGATCTGACAGGTGAAGTCGGCCATGTAAAGTCCACTGCTCACATACCAGGGACTAAGGCAAATAAAAGGATATTTGGGGGAGGATTACGGCTTTGACTTGGATCAAGAGACGACTGCTCTGTGTGTGATAAATTGAAACTTTCATAACAAACAGGATAAAGGGCCACATGAATGATATATCCTAACATCTACATGTAAATACAGCGTGTATATTTTATAGTAATACGGAATGTATCTACCACCTTGATGTTTGAACCATAAATATGCTAACTAGAGTACTACATGTATGTTCTATATATGTACATGTATATAGCAATACATGACAACTAAACATAACATTCAGTTTTAAGTACATATATAAAGAACACCTATTTTGAAAAAACACGTGTCATATCAAGCACATCTGTCTATAAAGGACACCTGTTTTAAAATAAACTTGTCCTATCAAGCATACCTGTCTATAAAGAGCACCTGTATATCTGACACCTGTCATATCAAGCATACTTATATATATAGCACACTTGTCCATTAAGCATACCTATCTATAAAGGGCACCTGTTTTGAAAGTACACCCATCCTATCAAGCATACCTGTCTATAAAGAGCACCATTATATCTGACACCTGTCATATCAAGCATACTTATATATATAGCACACTTGTCCATTAAGCATACCTGTCTATAAAGGGCACCTGTTTTAGAAGTACACCCATCACATCAAACATACCTGTCTATAAAGAGCACCTGTCATAGCAAGCACACTTTTACATATAGCACACCTGTCTGTAAAGAACACCTGTCTATATGACACCTGTCCATCAAGCACATCTGTCTATAAAAGACACCTGTTCTATGAATCACACTTAGGGGATAGTACGTTGTTTTGAGTATCTATACTGGCGATTAGAACATGAAATTTGGTTTAGAACATGAAATTTGGTTTGAACTCGAGACCGTTGGTCTCAAATTCAAACCAAATTTCATGTTCTAATCGCCAGTATAGACACTCAAAACAACGTACTATCCCCATTCTAACACACCTTAACAAATATACTACGCTAATATGTTTAGAAACATTGTATTTCCTTGTACAAAAGTACGAAGTAAAATACTTTGTGACCTGAACTGGCAGCGTGACATTCTGCAGCGGACTGACCAATCGGAAAGAAGCTTTCAAAAGTCGGTCATTTGCCCTGCCCATACTGACGAGCGCTCGATCTGTATGTTGACGAGGCGGAATATTTGGATTGTTCGTGAACGTCCTGTTACCAAAGTTTGTACGACACATTTGGATTAATATTGACCAAATTCTTACATTTCCATGTCAGTATGCAAACCAATCTGTGCTTATCGACAAAATCGGTGATTATTTGATTAGTTTTGTGTAAATGCATATGACACATGTGAATATATTTCATTTCGGATCTAAGTAGTTGCCTTCAAACGGATGAAACAAACGTTTCAGTAATAAATGGAGGTAAGAACAAGGAATGTGTACTTTTTACTTTTTAATTCATTCAACAAATACATTTCATCGGTCGTTTCTGTTCTGTTGCCTGCTAGCCTTATCAGCGGGATTTCGCTAAAAGGCGAGCCTGACGCCATATTGTTTTGGTTAGAAACGGGGTGTGGCTTAAGTGCGATGGGAGGAGCTTAACACGATTGATCATGATTCTATTGCGGATTAGAACATGGTCGAATCAAAACATGCGTTGCAAACGAATCATGTTAGAATTTTATATAAAGCACACCTGTCTGTCAAGCACACCTGTCTATTAAATGCACCTGTCTATATGATACATATGGCACCTGTCCAAAGGATGCCTCTCTATAAATAGACCAGTTAAAGAATCAAGTTATATCATGTTGACACCACAGAAATATGTTTTTCATGACACATGTATATAAATGAAACCTGTTTATAGAGTATCCCTGTCTGTGTTTAAAGGAGACCTGCTTATAAAGGACACCTGTCTATAAAGGATACCTGTTGAATATTCAATCCAATCTATTAAACCAATCCCCATAGTGATTGAATTTAAACAATGTAATTCCACTTCAAATTAGCGTTGCTTGATTAGGAGGTAGTGATGTGGGTGTTCTGCATCTGAGAGCTCATTGAATACACTGTGGAAATTAAAATGGATATCAACAGTCGTGCAGTCGGGTATGTTCATGTACACTAGTGATTGCAGCTGTTGTGTCTGTTAAAAATTGTTTCCACCAGTGGTTGTGGGACTGTTTAACAGTGGTTGTGGTACTGTATTTAACAGTGGTTGTTAAATTGACTTTGTAATTCATCTGGTAAAGGAAACATGTTCTAAAATTCTCAAAATGAAGCAGTGATCATTTGTTATGTTTTGGAGGTATAAATGATATCTGGTGACACTGTAACCTCACCCAATACACTGTAACCTCACCCAATACACTGTACCCTCACCCAATACACTGTAACCTCACCCAATACACTGTAACCTCACCCAATACACTGTAACCTCACCCAATACACTGTAACCTCACCCAATACACTGTAACCTCACCCAATACACTGTAATCTCACCCAATACACTGTAATCTAACCCAATACACTGTAACCTCACCCAATACACTGTAACCTCACCCAATACACTGTAACCTCACCCAATACACTGTAACCTCACCCAATACCTGACTTTAATGACATCCTGTATTACATGTTATGTATATAATAATGTGCTATATTTTAAGGTCCAAAAGTTCTAGCTCTCTGTTTTCAACCTGGCTTTTTAATTTGATAAACTGAGTCACATTATACAAGTCTCCCTACATGACGGTTAAGACAGGTTTAACTTGTGAAACCCACACGGCTGTCACAGTGTGACCGAACAATTTGTCTGAGGTACATGCATGTAAGTTCAAGTGTGGATCTGGGAAATGGTCATATTTAATATGGCTTTATCTGTTTGAAAGGAGACCTGCATTTGGTATAGTTATGGTACTGACCAGAGTGGCGAGTTTAACAGTGTTGACTACTGCTATTGTTGTGTGTATTATTGTTAGTATGGAGGGATCAATATTGTTTGACCAACACTGTTATCTGTAAATGGTCAGTTTGTAAAGTTTAATGATTAGCACACTTATACCTTGGGTCAATATTGAATGTTCACTTAACGGTACTACAGAACAAGTAAATAAAACGGAAAATATTTTTTGTCCTATTTGTTATGCTTGTGAATTGAATGTTATTCATTCTCTATAAATACTTTTACAAGGTCTGGCTGGGTAGCTAACAGAGTTTAGTAAATGAAGAAGTTGCTAATTATTTTACAGTTATTGCTGTAAAACTAGGCAACTCTGATAAAAAGGCTGACTACATGTATGGTTCAGACTGTGGGTTAAATGTTTTGGGTCATTTGATAGAGTGCAGATATATACCTGTCTGGTCGTTAACAGGTATCAAGTAGAGAGTTGGATTACTTAGCTGGGGATGTACCTGTGTTACCATGGTACATGTTCGATCCAATCACCTCTCGGCCTGTAAAAGGAATTTCAGTGTTGCAATGATGATAAAAAAAATTGGTAATTTTTATGAGAAATTTTGACTTTGACTGAGTAAGGGTGGAAACGGAGACCGTTTTTTAGTACTCCAAATTCTGCTGGAATGCACTTTAGACTGAAGTGTTAAGACCTCAACACTGTTTGCTGTGCAATGTTGTATTATATAATTGGAATTGATTACTTAGCATGGTGAATAAACCGCACATAAAGAAAAACTTCTGAGGCGAGAAATAGTCGGTGCGTAAGTGATTCAGCATTCAGCGAGTGTACAAAGGAGCTGTTGTCGGCTACAGACGGAGCTCTGTTGTTTGTTGACTTTACATATATAACCATAATCGGTAATTGATTCTAATCAGGACATCAATATTAGAAAGTGCAAAGTATAGACATAACGGTTGAGATCCTTGGAATTTCCTGTGTAGCTGGGTGTGTAGAGAGGTCCGGTGTCGGCGGGTACCACAAGGATCTTACACAAAACAAGGCATATCAATGGTGTCACACCATTCAACTTTTACTTGCTATTGTATTAAAGTCGGATATGGCTGCAGCAGAGGGGTTGTCAATTGATTGGATTGTATGGAAGTGTTGAAGCGTGGAAATGCGGACAGAACAAAATGGTAACATTTCTATAGATATGTGTGTTTATTGGGGAGCTGTAGCGACCGGTGTAATTCTGATCTAAACAAGAGGTGGTCAGGCCATAATACCTATGCATTCAGCCTGACACTCGGTGTGATGTCAATTATACCACCGTATAAGCTGACAAGTGGAGTTTTGTCGATAATAAGTTGGAGAACTATTTTGAAAGTTGTGGGAATTTGACAGCGTTGATTGCCGTTTTGTAGAGCAATATTTATCCTCAAACAGGAAGATTCTAAAGTTTTCCCAGTAATTAGTTGTTTTATTGGTAAACAAAAACTTTGTGGCCGATAAGTACCAGAAATTGATTGGTGTTGTTGACATCTATTGATTGTGTCCTGAAGTAGGGTTAAGGGCGGCTCAGGCCTTAGACCCACCACAGACCACCAACATGTACAGGACTGGTAAACCCTTGCTAAACAAGCCCCAATCGGAGTACGGAGCTCCTCGAACAAATGATACAAACGGCATCAGCAGACTCAAGACAGCACCACAAAATGGTGGCTCTAGCCGGAGGATGGCTTCTGATATGGACAAACGTGACACAAGTTTGGAGGACAATGTGGAGAATGATGTCACAGAGGACAGAGTCAATGACAGGAAAATAAAGTCAAGGTCAGCGCTGTCTGATGATGAAGACAGCCTGAGGTAAGATTCTAGGATCAACTCACTTTATGTTACTTACCTGAGTGATTGGATCGCGCAGTGAATAGTGCACTTGCCTTTCAACCAAATGGCCAGGGTTCAAACTCATGATTGGAAGTGAAAAGGTATGGCGTACATCACCTGCCAGACCACAAGGGGTTTTCTCTGCATGGGTAGTTGAGATCTTGACTCTGGTAGTTTTGGTAGTTTCAGTATCCAGAAATGTTACAGAATCAGCTAATTTGCTATTTTATTAATCTGCTGGTATTAAGAATGTGAGTTAACTGCATGATAACATTTAATTGTTGCTAGTCAAAATAGACGTTGATGTGAGAGTAAAAAGTTTTCTTGGTGCTGCATTGGAATATCAAAACATGACTTGAGATAGTCATTTGTAGGGAGGGATCTAGGTTCATCAACCACCGGGTAGCTAGCTAGGGATATTGAGTTTTTAAAAGGGAGATTTTCAACACAGGCACTCTCTATTAGAGTCGTATTCATGTCCATCACTTGTCAAAGTGCTAATATTTGGTTGTGTTAATTTACTGCTTTCAGTATTCTTGTATTTGTATTCACACACATTAAACCCCTATGTAAACCAAACACCTGAGGAATAAGATTCTGGTTCAGAACATGGCAGTCTTGCTTCAGACCACACTGTCTTCAATCACAGCTTAAATACGAAAAGTTAATTGTGAATTGTTTAAGTTAGCTTCAATGTTTTGAAGTGTATCCATTCCATCATGCTATAAAAAGACAAAATCTCAACCACATGTATTTAGCGCTTACCGGTATATCTTATCAAGGAGATTCTGTCTAGCTAAAGGTTGTACCAAGGGAAATAACTCTTGGTGCCTTCAATCGACTTTGGTTACAGTAACATATTCTACCTTGTACTGTTACTGTGTCTATAGAACTAACTCTGATACAGAATACATGTGACTTTGTGATATAGGTACATACAATTAGAATGACATGTAAATTACCGCTATGACTAGTTACTTTACCTGTGATGACATACAGGTGTATACACCAATAATGACTAACTTGCACCTGATGGAATACAGGTATATGCAGTTATAACAACTTTACATTAACAGTGTGATGATATAGGTCTCATGAGTGTGTCATAATATGGGCACTGGACCTGAACAAACAAATTTTCAATGGACGCATATTACTTAAATAGATATAATAGCGACAGTGCAGACAAAGGAATTTGTTAAATTTCCAAGGCAATCCACCCCTTTCTCAAGATAAAAACATGAACAATTACATATTGCAACATAAAAGATCATCGTTGTAGGATCTACATACAAGCATCTGCGAGAGAAATGGGTCGTCTCTGCACGTCAAATGGTAGATGGAGCCAACTATGTGATGATGACATACAAGTACATACAACTGTAATTAATGTATTCCTACCCATTAGGCATTACGGTACCAGATACAGATAAACAATATTTGACCCATACATATTGAAGTGCCTAGTTCGTATCACAAGGACCCTCCTGCCTTGTGGGATGTTCGGGAACTAATGGCCATTACGAGGGTTAATGTTCCTTTTATCGGATCATTTTTAAAAAGAAATTATTTTTGATGCTATCCACCTTCTATTTTGGACACACTTTAGCTTATGTATACACTAAACTATAAAAATCTCATGAAACAGCCATGTAAAATAGAATAGATATTCATTAATCTCCTGTCATTGACTGGAAATGATGGATGACATCTAAATAGGTTTTTAATGGAAATTTTATTCTGTGTTTACAGCTGGTGGATTTTGTAACAGATGTTGTCATACACAACCAATTAATAGATTATATAAACTGTAATAAATGTATCAAACTAAATTGTTAGTCTTGGCGGCCTTTGGTGAAAAATATTTGTGAAAGAGCTGTAGTTGAAATGGATATGTAGATCAATCACCAGTGACTAGGTTACACCTCAACTCATTGAGCCTCAAACTAGAGCTTGGCAGTTCTGGGGATCGAATCCTGATCTTGGTGATAGTTCTCCTGTCACAGATTGTTAGACTACAGATCCCTATAGGCCAGTAGACCATGTGACATGCCCTGTCACAGATTGTTAGAATACAGATCTCTACAGGCCAGTAGACCCTGTGACATCCCCTGTCACAGATTGTCAGAATACAATTCTCTACAGGCCAGTAGACCCTGTGACATGCCCTGTCATACATTGTTACAATACAAATCTCTACAGACCAGTAGACCCTGTGACATCCCCTGTCATAACTGGTCTCTACAGGCCAGTAGACCCTGTGACATCCCCTGTCACAGATTGTTAGAATACTTATCCCTATAGGCCAGTAGACCCTGTGACATCCCCTGTTACAGATTGTTAGAACACAGATCTCTACAGGCCAGTAGACCCTGTGACATCCCCTGTTAGAGATTGTTAGAACACTGATCTCTACAGGCCAGTAGACCCTGTTACATCCCTTGTCACAGATTAGAATACTGATCCCTACAAGATTCTTAGAATACTTATCCCTATAGGCCAGTAGCCCCTGTGACATCCCCTGTTACAGATTGTTAAAATACTGATCTCTACAGGCCAGTAGACACTGTGACATCTCCTGTTACAGATTGTTAGAATACTGATCCCTACAGGCCAGTAGAACCTGTGACATCCCCTGTTACAGATTATTAGAATACCGATCCCTACAGGCCAGTAGACCCTGTGACATCCCCTCTTACAGATTGTTAAAATACAGATCTCTACAGGCCAGTAGACCCTGTGAAATCCCCTGTTACAGATTGTTAGAACACTGATCTCTACAAGCCAGTAGACCATGTGACATCCCCTGTTACAGATTGTTAGAATACTTATCCCTTCAGGCCAGTATACCCTGTGACATCCCCTGTCACAGATTGTTAGAATACTGATCCCTACAGGCCAGTAGACCATGTGACATCCCCTGTTACAGATTGTTAGAATACTTATCCCTTCAGGCCAGTATACCCTGTGACATCCCCTGTCACCGATTGTTAGAATACTGATCTCTACAGGCCAGTAGACCCCGTGACATCCCCTGTTACAGATTGTTAGAATACTTATCTCTACAGGCCAGTATACCCTGTGACATCCCCTGTTACAGATTGTTAGAATACTTATCCCTACAGGCCAGTATACCCTGTGACATCCCCTGTCACAGATTGTTAGAATACTTATCCCTATATGCCAGTAGACCCTGTGACATCCCCTGTTACAGATTGTTAAAATACAGATCTCTACAGGCCAGTAGACCCTGTGAAATCCCCTTGTCACAGATTGTTAGAATACTGATCCCTACAGGCCAGTAGACCATGTGACATCCCCTGTTACAGATTGTTAGAACACTGATCTCTAAAGGCCAGTAGACCCTGTGACATCCCCTGTCACAGATTGTCAGAATACAAATCTCTACAGGCCAGTAGACCCTGTGACATCCCCTGTTAGAGATTGTTAGAACACTGATCTCTACAGGCCAGTAGACCCTGTTACATCCCCTGTTACAGATTGTTAGAATACTGATCACTACAGGCCAGTAGACCCTGTGACATCCCTTGTCACAGATTAGAATCCTGATCCCTACAGGCCAGTAGACCCTGTGACATCCCTTGTCACAGATTAGAATACTGATCCCTACAGGCCAGTAGACCCTGTGACATACCCTGTTACAGATTGTTAGAATACTGATCCCTATAGGCCAGTAGACCATGTGACATTCCCTGTTACAGATTGTTAGAATACTGATCCCTATAGGCCAGTAGACCATGTGACATTCCCTGTTACAGATTGTTAGAATCCTGATCCCTACAGGCCATTAGACCCTGTGACATTCCCTGTTACAGATTGTTAGAATACTGATCTCTACAGGCCAGTAGAACCTGTGACATCCCCTGTTACAGATTATTAGAATACTGATCCCTACAGGCCAGTAGACCCTGTGACATCCCCTGGTACAGATTGTTAGAATACTTATCCCTTCAGGCCAGTATACCCTGTGACATCCCCTGTTGCAGATTGTTAGAATACTGATCCCTACAGACCAGTAGACCCTGTGACATCTCCCCTGTCATAACTGGTCTCTACAGGCCAGTAGACCATGTGACATTCCCTGTTACAGATTGTTAGAGTACTGATCTCTACAGGCCAGTAGAACCTGTGAAATCCCCTGTTAGAGAATGTTAGAACACTGATCTCTAAAGGCCAGAAGACCCTGTGACATCCCCTTTTACAGATTGTTAAAATACAGATCTCTACAGGCCAGTAGACCCTGTGACATCCCCTGTTAGAGAATGTTAGAACACTGATCTCTACAGGCCAGTAGACCCTGTGACATCCCCTGTTACAGATTGTTAGAACACTGATCCCTACAGGCCAGTAGACCCTGTGAAATCCCCTGTTAGAGAATGTTAGAACACTGATCTCTACAGGCCAGTAGACCCTGTGACATCCACTGTTACAGATTGTTAAAATACAGATATCTACAGGCCAGTAGACCCTGTGACATCCCCTGTTACAGATTGTTAAAATACTGATCTCTACAGGCCAGTAGACCCTGTGACATCCCCTGTTACAAATAGTTAAAATACCGATCTCTACAGGCCAGTAGACTCTGTGACATCCCTTATTACAGATAGTTAAAATACTGATCTCTACAGACTTGTATTCAAAGTCATAGGGGTCAAATTTGTTTAAAATCTTTATACAAATTCTTAATAACCAAAAGGCCCAGGATGTTGATAATTGATCAGTAGCATGCTAGAATGAAGGGCTACGAAGTTGGTTCAAATGAATGCCCTTGAATTATTTTCAAGGTCACAGGGGTCAAATATATTAAAATCTGTAAACAACTTTTGAATAACCATAAGGCCTAGAATGTTGATATCTGGTCAGCAACATGCTTGGATAAAGGGCTATCAAGCTTTTTTAATTGAATGACCTTGACCCACTTTCAAGGTCACATTTGGTTAAATATGTATAAACATTTA